TACCTGGGGAACCCAAACCCTACAAAAAAGTAGGGTTTAAGATAAGAACCTAGGTTTAGGGGCACATTGTGTATAGAACCCGTGTTTAGAGGCAAACCCCGGGTCTTGAGGCCATAGGCTCCAAATCAAGGTAGTTGGCAGGTTTGGGGACAAAATCATCATCCCGAAGTTCTCTTAAAGACCCCAAAAGATCTAAACCAACATAAATAAGTACGAAATCCCAAGCCCTTTCAAAGACCGAAGCTGGCCGAGGCCTCTGCAGGATCAGAAGTCACAGTGCGCAAGGCCGTTCTCAAATAATGCCGGGGTGAGATTTAGGATTTTACGGGGTTTCATAGGGCACTTAGCTTATATACCTCATATGATACAGAAGAGGGTTGTGACTCGTCGTAGCCACAATAAACCATTATATGCAGTATAGATCGAGATAGTGTAAAAGGAGGTGCGATCCGAATGCAGCCCTTGCAATGGCATCGACATCTTTTTCACGTCTGGACGAGCCAGCTCCCGAGAGCGTGATCGCCTGCCAGGGTTTCTTGCTTTCAGCTTTCATCGCACAAACATTCTGCAGCTATTTAGCTCAATTTTTTTTGTGATCTTCGTAGACTCAGCCATGGGGGAATCGACCGAAAAGGGTCTGGACATCCGGGATGTCCATAAGATGTGGGATGCTTCGGAAGAAGTTCGGCGGCGGCTACGTTCGGGACAGGGTTGTCTTCATGAACAGTCTGGCCTCTCTATCGACAATTACCGGGCTAGCCTGAATGCTGCTATACTTCGTCCCCTTTTGATGGGGATGGGAGCGGACCCAACCCGAAAGCTCCCAAGTGTTGGGGATCTTCGCTCGGAGCTTTCTGCTCTCTTTGCGTCGAGCAAGCGTACAGGGCCGGAAGTCCCACAGTATGTGAGCATGGAAGGTATTCATATTAGGAAATTCCTCAGCTTCGTGAAGGCAAAGTGTCGAAGAGAAGAAGTTTCTCAGGATCTCCGATTGCATCTTATAGAGCTTGTGTTTTACAGGGTTTTATGCGCAGTTCCAGGGCTTATTTAGGGCGATAAAAGCTGGGTTCCGATATCCAAGGATCCTGTCTTCCAGGAGCTCTGCCTGGCCCTTGACCCTGGACTTCAGGCCACTACTGCTTTGGTGCACAAGGGGAATTACAGAGTTGAAGTCTGATAGAGGGAGAGACAGAGAGAGAGAAAGAGAGGGAGAGAGAGAGAGAGAGAGAGGGACATAGAGGCAGAAAATTTAATTGGCAGGCAATTGTGGATGCCATCAATGCTCGCCGGCTTGCTCGCGCAAGTGACCCTGCTACAGGGGAGGAGGCTGGCGATCATGATTTGTATGAGCTGCTAATTGAGAATGAAATACTAGTAGCATCTCAGAAAAATGTTGCAAAGCATCGCAGCCCTGGAAAGGAGTCCGATGAAGATGCCTATGAGGATGTGGACGACGTTGTTGCAGACACCGCAGCAAACCCAAGCGTAGCTGCACCGACCTCTTTGGCAAACCCGACGGAAGCTGCAACCTCTGTGGCAAACCCAACCGTAGCTGCCGTAGCTGCACCGACCTCTTTGGCAAACCCAACGGTAGCTGCACCGACCTCTTTGGCAAACCCAACGGTAGCTGCACCGACCTCTTTGGCAAACCCGACGGAAGCTGCACCGACCTCTATCTCTGTGGCAAACCCGACGGAAGCTGCACCGACCTCTATGGCAAACCCTACTGTAGGAGGGCCTACAACCCCTGTCCCAGCTTCGACTACTCCGACATCAGGGGCTTCGACACCTTTGGATACCCCAGCCCGTAAGCCAACAGATCATCCGAGCATTACACCTTCCCCACCATCGGCACCGATGAGGCGTTCTGGTTCCAAGGACAGGATTCATCGTGTTGGCAACTTAGAGTAAGTCATTCCCAAATAACCCAACCCGGCCTACTTTACAGGACTTTGGCGCATCGGCTGCAGCGGAGAAGACGTGGGCGGAGGCGCCGCCACGTGAGCTCCTCATCCGTTCGTCTTGTGGGGGCTGCACTTATCGGCTTGCTGGGTTCTCGGAATTGGGTTTTGGCTGAGGCCGTTCGTTGTCTGCATCCGATCGTGCTGCTATCGCTGCTCGAGTTGCTCTTCTACGACAGAGGATAATGCAAGCTGCTCCGAAGCCTCGATTGAAAATGGTTTTCTTCGCTCGATCTGTGCTTAAACGTGTTTCAGAGCAACATAACTTCTCAGCCCAGGACCTCTTCTACGCCTACGACTCCACCCCCGAGCTCAACCGCCAGCGAGACCTCAGGACTCCGAGTGTGGAAGCAGACCCTAAGTATGTGTTCATACCCAACTAATTAAGAGCTTCAGGACCACTTTCGACCCAGACCTCGTTCAGCTTGGATTCAGATGAGACTCAGCCCTGGGATGGGTTGCCCGATCCTACGTCTAGAGATGCCTTGGGTTTGGGTGATGGTGGCCGACCCGTTGATGCTGAACCTGTGTCTGAACTTCCTGAAGTTGAAGAAGCTGCCGATGCTTTCACTGCCAGTGAAGATGAGGTTGGAATCGATTCTATGTACATATAAGCCCCGGGTTAATAGCTTAAGTTTAATAACTTATATATAAATTTAAGATATATATCCCAAAATAGCTTCTCAAATTCTAGGATATAGATTGGTTGTTGGGGTCTATACCAATTAGTAAGTCGGTGAATCGGTTTCATCAGGCACCTGCTTTGGTGACACGAAAGGATCAGCTTCGTACGAGGCAGGCGCTTAAGGCCAGCAACAAGCGCGGAATTGCCTCAGACCCCGAGGCAGGCACCCGCCTGCTTCGGAGGAAGAGCAGTCGCAAGCTCAAGAAGCTCCGCAAAATGAAGCGGACAAAGGCGCCGATTGAGGAGGAGCAGGCGGAGCCGGATGAAGTGAACGACCCAGTGGACCCGGGACATGCCGAACCGGAGCCAATGGACGAGGAACAGGCCGAACCGGAGCCATCGAGCGAGGAGCAGGCCGAGCAGATGGACGAGCCGAAGACCCGGCCGAAGGCCAAAGGCAAGGCCAAGGCAGCAGCAAAGGGGAAGGGGAAACCCAAGGCGAAGGCAAAAGCCTTTGCCTCCGCAAAGGCGAAGGCGAAGGCCAAAGCCAAAGCGAAGTCTTCTCCGAAGGCGAAAGCCAAGGCCGCAAGCAAGCGGACGCGCAAGGGGGACGAGGGCGACGGTGACGTGGGCAGCTCGTCAGTGCCTGTGGCGAAGGCGAAGGCGAAAGCCAAGGGCAAAGCTAAGGCGAAGCCCTCGCATCCGAGTGCCGAGGAGCTGAGCACCATCACGATGCAGGAGGCCCTTTGGTACTTTGAGGTCAAGACCAGAGCGGAGCTCCGGGAGAGGATGATCGCCTATGCACGGTTGTTCCCCGACCTTCCGGTTAGCAAGTCCTCGAAGTGCAAGCTGAAGGCAGAGCTTCTGGACACGGAGCATTGCCAGCTGACGGTGTACTGGACCAGGGCCACAGTGGGAGTTCTTGCAAGGGACGAGAAAAGAGAGATCGCGAACTTCTCGCCGCCATGCGCCTTCAAGCAAGTGCCCTGGTCCATGAAGCAGGCCTTGGCCCTCAAGACCGGTGAGATCTTGGCAGTCTACGTGGACTACCTCATCAAGGATGAGTATATCACAGGGACCGATGTGGCAGCGACCCCCGAGGTTTCGATGATGACAGCAATGCTGAAAGAGCAGATGCACTTGGCTTTGGGAAGCTTGAAGCCTCATCCATAGAAGCTGTTAGCTTGCCAGTGTGTACAGAGCTGATCGAGGGGTATATGCAAGCGACATCCGTAGCTTGTGTGAGGGAGCTCGATCGAGCTACAGTGCACATGTGCATAGTCCAGCGACAGTACAGGATGTGAGCTTCATTGGTGTTTACACTGCCTCGGTTATTGTGTGCATTCCTANNCTATGTTTCGACACTACTCTTCTTCAGCAGAGTGTACATCAATCGAGGCTAATCGGGGCTTCAAACCGGGCTCGGGGGCATTTGAGGGTGGGCCTTATAGACCGTATAGTAGTTGCTAGCTTTAAAATCCACCTAAGGACCGTTGGAATGCACTTAGTAAGCCAACCCAATCGGCAGGCCCATTCCTCGGATCTCCAGAGTGTAGGGCCGGGCAAGCAGCTAGAAGAGCCGCGCCGCCGCCACAGTGGAGACGAAAACCTTGGATGTATTCACTCGTGGTGCTTTTGCGATCACATATATTAGTTTTGTTCAGTGCTTCAGTCGATCATTCTGCATTCATCAATCCTTCAAGACTAGAATTGTTCCTCCTTGTTAAAAGAAGCAACAAGCCCGACAGCTTCCAAGCATCGAGTCTGTATCCCAACAATTGTTTCTGGTACTTTGATACTCTAAATAGACCCTATAATAAAAACCCTATACACCCTAGAAGCCCTATAAACCCTAACCCCGATCAACCCCTGAAAACTCCCGTACTTCTCCAAAAGCCAACCCCAAAGCACCAAGCCAGTCCCGACAACTCTTTGTGGCACCCCAGAACTTCAATAGCACTATTGTCTGGTGTGCACATGCACCAGGTTTCAGAAGCACCTAGGAAGACCCGATAACCCTAAATAAACCCCATCAGAAACCCTAGAACGCAATGCATATGAGCGAGAACCCCCTACATTGTGCCCTATAGATGCACATTGTCGATCCCTCGTCAGGCCAAGGCACAACGAACCTTGTGTACTTCCACGAAAACCAAAGCCATCTATCTACAAATGTATGTGTGTATGTATGTATGTATGTATGTATGTATGTATGTATGTATGTATGTATGTATGTACGTGTGTATGTATGTGTATGTATGTGCACATATGCATGTATGCATGTATGTGTGCATGTATGCATGCATGTATGTATGTATGCATGTACGTCTGTACATGTTTCATATATTTATAGGGTTTATATGGTATATATATATATA